CTCCCTTCTCCATCTCGGTTGTTCCCCAACCCCTTTTCCTGTCCCCTTCTTATCTTCGATAGCACTTTTACAATCACATTTAACTTTTTTATGCCTCTATGTGTTTGTGCAGACTGAACGATGAAAAACTGAACGTCGATGTTACTGTCATCAAGGAGCAGAAGAGTAGACAAAAAAAAAAGGAAAAGTAAACAAAACCTACTGATAACAACAGTTTTTGTTTGTTTTTTGTAATTTCAAACACTGAAAGCGGAAGAGTGGTTTAGTGGATCAGTAAACAAATGAGAAATGGAAAAAGGGCAAATGATAAACATTACATATATAGAACTTACCTGTCTCCGAATAAACCATACCAAAATTTGTATGTATATTTGTATTGTTTACAAACTTATTTATTTATTTATTTATTTATTTATTTATTTATTTTTTGTTTTCCCCCTTCTTTTTCTGTTGTAAACTTATTTCTGTTGAAGCACCAAAAACAAAAGCCAGATAATTTTGTGACAACAATCAAAATGCATTTTTGGTTGAGTGAAAATAAACTATTTTCTGAATAATTTTATGTTCATCAATTCTTTCACCTCTTAGTCTGTCCTCATTTCTATCGACTAAACAATACACATTTGAACCTGGCGCCTCCCCACTCCCCAACAGCCTTCTCACACCCGTCTTGTTCCTTTTTCATTTCACCTCGTTATTCAGCCCGGTTTACCTTTTCAAATATGTGATAATTTATAAAATTTTAATCAAAATTTAGGTCACACCAAAGTTACAAATCAAAACCCCATCGTTTGATAAATTTTAATAGAAAAATTTGATAGCAGTATTATCAGGCAACAACAACGGCAAACAGCAACAGCAACAGCAACAGCAGCAGCAACAGCAGCAGTAGCAACAGCAACAAAAATAGCAACAACAACAACAACAACAACAACAACAACAACAACAACAACAAAGCAACTGTAGTATTTATATCTATAAACACAAATACGTACAATTTGAACGCGATGTGTACACGCTGTCTATAGAATTGATTTGAATAAAAAAAATTTATTTGTTTATTTATTCTTTTTTTTGACCAAAATTTTTTTTAAAACTGCTAAAAAATATTCTTAGAAACTTTGCTATTAACCAGTTTGCACTAAGCAATAATAAGCAATAAAAAAAAGGCAAAGAACGACATTAAAAAAAGGAAGCTTCAAAGTTTTCACCCCCCACTACCCCCCGCCTCTCTAAACTCCTTGATACTGTTTCAAAAATTCCGTTAAATGATTAATAAACAAAGAAAAAATGATAATAACAATAATAATAACAATAATTTATGGCAGTAAATTTACGGCCCACTTAGTCTTTTTTCCCGGATAGTTTTTTTTTTTTTTTT